CGCGAGACTCCATCACCTGAAAAATAGTGTAGTGGGGAGGCGTGAGCACAAAGGAATCAACGGTGCTCCACCGGGACCGGCACTGAATACTCAACACAATTAATAACAAACTATGAAATCAACATATATATGAATAAACTTGTCTGACTATGGGACGAAGCGTAAACCGGTACTCGTGTGTACACTCTGGGGGTCCCCTCCCACAGAAATCCAGGAAAGGCACTAATCACTCCATCTGGACGCTAGACTTAGGACGGGCCCTAATCATACACATCCAAGTCATAACTGAAATACTGAAATATTGACCAAGACGGGATCACTCATCCGTCTCGATCCTTCAATTTAATCACATATAGACCTCAAACATGGTAAATTATCAAAAGCGATGAAATACACAGTACATAGTCCCCACCTGGAAACTGGCGAATGCAAATGCTGAAAATGCTGAAATGGGTAGCTGACGAAGACTCGACTCTCCTCAAGCTACAAAATATATTGAGCAAAATATTCTAAGTATTGGGCTCAAAATAAAATGCAAATCTTTAATATCTTATTGTCTAGGTTCGCTCACTCAGCTTTAAAAAAATCAATTTAGGGATTTACGAGCTGGTTTTGAAAATATTATTGTCTTTGAGGCATTCTAGAGTTCTCTGAAATATTTCTAAGTCTGGAACTAAGATCTGACTTAATTTAATCTGACTGAAATCTAAACTATATCTGGATCTTTAATCTATCTGGATCTTAAATTTATCTAGAATCTTAACTATATCTGAAATCTTAACTATATCTCAAATCTTAATCTGACTGGATTTGCAATTTGTCAAAAAGATATCTGAAATTTATCTCGAACCGTCCGGAATGACCAGACCGGTTTGACTGAACTGGACCAACGGCTCACTCGGAGCCGGTCGATCATTCGCTTGACTATGTGCAGCTCGGTTTGACTGTGGTCCGAGTTCGGCGTGGCAACTCGAGCCGACACAAACTCGACTGACACGGCTTAGCCGATGCACGAGTTTGAAACGGTGCCATGGTCACTGACGCAGGGGCGCGCTTGGACCACAGCTAATGAATATGGTGTGTAGACGGTAAGTCGGATGGGCTCGGTGCACGGGCACGCGCTCGGCGTTTTGACTTGGACTCGGTGGACGGGCACGCACTCGGCGGTTCGGCTCCAACGGTCGGACGAGAGTCGAGCACGTTTGCGAGACAATGATACGCGTTAAAAATTATTGTTATGACATCTAAATTTATTCAAATGATATTAGGGTTCGGTCAATTATATTCGGATCCGGAAAAATACCCGGTTATCAGAACCGGATAAACTAGGGTTTCAGATTCTCGAAAATCCTAATTCATTTAAGGATGATAATAAAGATATAATTTCTATGTGTGTAATGAATTTATAATCAACGACTGCAGCTAAAATCTTAATCAGACTAATATCCTAAAATTTCGCGTTAACGGCTAAAGTCCTGATTTTAAAACTAAGTCAAACGGTATCCAAAATTCATAAAATTCGAAACGTAACATTCTCAACGAAAACGTGATCTACGATCAAAATAACAAGTCTAAAGTCAACCCCTAGAATAGTCTAAATGCAACAAATTCAATGATATTTATTTCAAAATTTTATTACAATTATTTAAAAAGTTCCGAAAAATCGCTTCAAGCCCGAAAATCCCGATTTACTCAAAATCGCTCAAATCACCTAATTTATTCATTTTATATCACCACATTAAACATGTTTAGGCACATGGAGAAGGGCTTAAGTTACTTTACTTACAATCAGTATGAATTGGATCAAACGAGAGTAGATCGGCTAGAAAACGGGTCAAGGAAGCAAACCGGACCGGGGCTACGTGTGTGGGTCACGAATCCGTGGCTGAGGAGCTGTTAGGACTGGACTAAGATGTTTGGTCGCGCGTGGACTGCAGCTGGTCAGGTCGCCGAGCTACAGTTTCGCGGAGGAGCTGTTTTTTCCGGCGAGTTTTCGCTGGAATCGGGCTGGTTGGCGGAGCTGCGGGTCTGGAGTCGCGAGCAGGAGCTGAATTTGGGCCGTACGGATGCGGTAGTTGGAGCAAGTGGTCGCGACGGGAATGAGATCGGCTTGGGTGGCACTTGTAGGTGAAGGGAACGAGCTTGCTATCGCCGG